ATGTACCATAGATTGATTCTCAGTGTTATACAGCGTCTGTGGAACCTACTCATCATAATGGTATGCAGATTGTTTGTTCACCCCCTTTTCATGTGGTGAATATTTAAGGGAACAAGTGTATCTGTAAAAGATTGAATTTGTATAAGCAAGAGATTGTTTATACCTGAAATATATAAAATGACACAAAAACGCAGATGACAGCCATCTTCATACTCGCCGTCTACCGTGCTTTGCTGAACTGTCACTCGAGAACCATATTTTACTCCTGTCTGCAAGGTATTTCGTTAAATCTTTTTCCGGTTTGGGCTTACATTATGATCCACCAAGCACATAAACCTTGCTGTGATTGTAACTGATCTCCACATGGGGCGAACCTGGAGGTAGTTAAGTCACTTCTTACTCACGGGACAGTCTGCGTTGGTATAAAATAAACCGTATCGGACATAGGCCACTAAAGAAACGGTGGCTACTGCTTAGTTTCATTTATGTCTTGTGAATATTGGAAAGTAATCAATTTATGAAATTGCTGTTCGTTTCTTCACAAGGAGCGTATACTGTTATTTCTTAATACAGTGTTACTATAGTAACCGTCTTATGACCGTATGACCGTAGTATGACCTCAATAGGTGCCGTTCACAAGATTCTCCTTCTACGCCCGAGTTCCATGTTTCCAATAACCATGATTGATTGCTTCTGTCCAGTTGGTATCTAGAATCGTGATCTGCTACCAGCTCAGCCATTTTGTAAATCACTGCACGCAGAACATCGGGAGTTTCCCTGCGAAGTGTGACCGGTACTCTGATATTCATTTTGAAATCATTGACTCTTATTTGAAAAGTCGATTGTATACTCGACTTATTAAAGAATAGCCCATTTTCTTTACGGAACCCGAAGGTTCATCACCTTGTTCACAAAAGCCCGCCGCCGGACTCTTATCTTGAGCTAGCTGCATTCAGTTCGCTCCATCGATTCCAATCTCCCTAAAGTCTGTCTTAACGTTATCCTCCTACCTACGCCTAGATCTGTCCAGCTGTCTCCTCACTTCAGGCCTCCCAACCAATACCCTGCAAACACCCCTCTCCTCCCCTCTGGCGTGCTACATGTTCCGCCCAACTCATCCTCCTCGTTATAGTCACCCTAACAATGTCAGGTGAGGAGTACAGGCCGTGAAGCTCATCATTATACAATTTTCTCCATGATCCGCCGTCCTTTCTTTTAGGTCCAAATATCTTTAACACTTTCTTCTCAAAGACCCTCAATCTGTGTTCCTCCCTCAAAGTGAGAGACCAAGTTTCGCACCCATACAGCACAACTGACAAAATTACACTTTTATACATTTCATTCTTCAGTTTTTTATGTGAGACGGGAGGGCAAAAGATTTTGGACTGAATGATAGGAAGCATTTCCTGAGTTTAATCTGCTCTTGATTTCGTCCTGAATGCTATTCTGACTTGTTAGTGTCGTCCCCAAGTACTTGAATTCTGTCGCATTTTCGAACGATTCATTAGCTATCCTTATATTCTGGTTCTGTCCAGATTTCTGATGCCGAGACATGATCATATACTTTGTCTTTTCTGCATTTATTTTTAGACCAATGACCCTAATAGCCCTTAACAGTGTTTCTGTGTTCGCTTTTATAGTATTTATATTATCACCCGTCAGCATGACGTGTCCCAACAAAGTTTCTTACAGCAGTAGAGATCTTAACACGTTCAGTTTATCATAGGATGAACTTCTAATACATAAACATTTTCGAGTGGTTGGTAGTTGTTAACCTGTTCGATGAATTGACTAGAAGGCTCGTCATTGGTTTTGCAAACTCCCGAATTTGGTCATTGTCCCGAAAACCGCTCAGTTAAGTAACATTTTCAGAAACTCTTTGGCTAATATGCATTTAAAATCGCAATCTCGTCCACGTGTACATTGTCCCACCACAACCTCCACAAAATTGAGACGTCCAATTTATTTTTTCTTATTGTATTTGGGGTAATAGTTCTACGAAAGGCGAGATATTGCATTTTATACTACTCTTACGTTATTAGTACACTTTAATTTTGGACACCATGTTAATATAAATTTGAAGAACCAGTTATAATCCATCCAATTAACATAGTTGAGAACTGCCAGTTATAGGAAAAACGTAACACATGGACTGAACACACGGCGTAATGGTTTTCACTGCTATGTGCTCCGGAAGGTCTTGGTCCGGAGCTCTGTTATAATGCCAAAGGCTTTTTTTGGTTTCCGGTTCTATAACAGTTCCAAACAAGCACAACATACTTTAGACACAAGGAACACAGGATACATTGCATCAAGACATCAAGGCAAGTTAAAATTCCAGTTCCTCTCACCCCATTTATACCGTCTCTCATAACCATCAGTCCATGCGAAACTTCATAAACCTTGAGCTGAGAAACTTGAGTAAATTAAGAAGTGAGTGCTATGACGTGATGTGAGGCTGATGGAAGCAATCTGATGGCATGACGACAAGGGGCCATTATGCTGTAGTCGGACTCCAGCCCGAAACGTGAGCATCACGATCGCTCTGATGTGTAACGTTATGAGAATAGCCAGCGCATTCAGAATGCGGACATTATGTCTGCCCCATTTCCCCACTGTTTGCCTCCCCCCCCCCCAATCCTTCCGCCGTGGACGGGACGCTTGTAAAGAATGTCAGGGATAAAAATGGGAGAAGCCGGCGAGAAAGAAGCAGCAAGACGAAAGTAATTGGTGGCATGGAATGAAGTATTGAGTTAAAATGTCTGACCGACGGTCACTACAACTGTGCTATGAAAGAAAGAGAAGGGTAGAGCGAATGGATGGGAAGAGGAAATGGAAGAATTTAGCAAGAAGAAACGATATATTGGAGAAATAACATGAAATGAAAAGAAACAGAGAAGGAAGCAGAAAGAGAGAGAACTTAGAATACTCGGAGAAAAGATGAAGAAAAATAATGGGCATTGAGCAAAGGAGGAATGGGTCAAGGGACGGATACGTGAATGGGTGGATACATCCTACTGAGGTTTGGATTCGTGACAGTGTTATTGCTGTTCTGTCGCCTTTCTTCCCTAAATGCCGTGTTTCCGACCTCAGCCTGTAATCCGGCTGTCTGGTGGCACACGTCAGAGGACTGAATGTAATCACATACACGCACCCGCACACAGTAATGGTATTCGCTGACGCATTGCAGAAGGCAGGGGAAGATGAAGCTAAACCACTCACCTCTATCTACTGTCGCGGTTAATAATACGCGCCAGTTTGCTTCTGGATTCATCCCCACACGCGTTTGCGGAGTTTCGCTTAGAAACAGGGTGTAACTTCACGTTTACTCGACGAAGGAACAGGCTGTTTTGTAAAAAGTAAAAAAAAGTTTAATTAGCTTTGCAAAACAAAATTTTATTTTATTTTAGTGCCTTCCTTGACTCTGACAATTAAGAGATACGTGTAACAAATGTGATGTTTTCTCTTGTTTTGTATGGGTATAAAACTTGAAGATTGCTGTCTTTAGGGTTGTTGCCTTGATGACGGAGGCAGTATGACCTCCGAAACGTTGGTAAACATCTACCATACTACACAGCGCAACAACCCAGAAGACAGAAATCTTCATACTCACCGCTGTGAAAACCTCGTCGCCCTGATGACGGAGGCTGTATGACCTCCGAAACGTTGGTAAACATCTACCATACTACACAGCGCAACAACCCAGAAGACAGAAATCTTCATACTCACCGCTGTGAAAACCTTAAATCCTACGGTATAAAACTTGGTCTCTTATTCCGAATTCGTAAAACAGACGTGTCATAGGTCAAAGTACTGAGGGCAGTGACTTGTTATGACCTGTGAGGGAGAGTCGACAAAGGATTTAAGGAAAGTACTTACGAGATTTAAAATTTATATACTTTATCGTTGAGGCAGTGAAACCATGAAGAATGAAATACCGGCGCTTTGCTTCACGTATTAGAGGAAACTACAAATGGGCATCTTTTAGACACATGAAAGGAAGATGTCGCTTAGAAAGCGAGAATGGTAAGGTCGATTATGTAAAATGATCCGATGAAACAGTTTGTGACGGTGTGGACTGGATTCATCTAACTTAGAATACAATCCAGAGCTTCATAACGAGTCATCAGGTTACATCGAGTGGGGAATTTCATCAATAGCTGGATTATGAATAACTCTTTAAGCAATACACTCTATAATTTGTGTACTTAATTATGTATTAATTTATGTTTTATTTAACGTTGCTGTCAGTAGTTCAGGTTATAAATAGTCAAGAGATAGGACGATTAGTGAATAATGAATTGAGGAGGTACTGGAACAAAGCGCTCGTGGCCTGATTTAAGGAACTCTCCCGAATTTTTTTAGGGAGAGCTGAGTAAAAGACAAGGAAACTCAGGATAACCGGGCTAGGGACCGGTATTTGAACCAAGGACCTACAGAATACGATGCAGGAGAGTTAGCTACTATTCCATAACGTTAGGCGGCAATTCAAGAAACAAAGATCATGGGCATTAGCCATCATCCTAATTTAATTAACGACACGACGTTTCGGAGACTGGAATGACTTCATCCTTAGGTGAGACCTAATCTGTAAGGTCCGATTGTAGAGCTAGTTCCTATCTCCGGATAGAGGTTTTGCCTAAGGACTTTAATATAATTAGGGCGATGGGTACTGTCCAAGAAGTTCCTTATTTTAACAAGAAAAGTTCGTCTCAAACCTTAAGATTTTTAACCTCAGTTTGTTTGCTTTTTCCTGCAGAATAACTTATACCTTGGCTTACATTTTTGTGTAATAAAGGAAAAGATTATTTTTATGGTATTTGTGTAATGAATTCCGTTTTTAATTAAGTATGTTTAAGTAGGTGTATTGATGGCAATAAAGCATCGTGATAGATGTTCCCTCTGTATAGAACAAAGTACTTAATGTATAAATCCCCAAGAGACCTGTTTTACAGAGAAACAACATTTTAGTAATTCTTGTTTATGGTAATTGTTTACAGGTAAAGGAAGCAGCGACTTGATGATTCCCCCCAGACACCGACCATATTTTGAGAGGAAGCATTCCCAGCCCCAGTATGCCGGCGTCCCTACAAACGACGTCAGAAATTCGCTGTACCGGGAGGCGTCGACAAAGGATGTGAGCCAGGCAGTGAGTTTCGTGGACAAGAAGCTCTTTTATAATGGTCATGTGATGTCTCGTCGCAATGCCATGGACGACTCAGAAGCGAGTAAATGCAAGGCGTTTGAAGTGGGGAATCCCGAGCGAGGGGAATTCTACTCGCCCAGCTATCCAGATAACTACCCTAACAACATTGAATGCACCAAATTACTGGAAGGTAAGTCATGGAATCCTTTATGTCTGGTTTGTAGTGCCTCAACATGTGATTATTTCAAGTCTTCAGTGAATAGTTTGCTTCTTTAGTGACAAGAGAGAAACAAAGTATTTGGCAGGTGGAAATTCCAAGATAACTGAACTGTGTGGTAATTACAGAAATTCTAGCTTGTTTTGACGTTATAAAAGAAAAACCATCCTCCATCCTGATGCAGTTAATTTTTAGGCATATACGCACCAAAAATCAAAAATACACATAAAAACAGAGAAACGCTAAAAGGATTTGAATAAATATTGATCCTGGTGTAATTTTAGAAAAAAATTATCGACACGTTATAATTTGGGTTAAAATCGAACGACAATGATGGACACTAAATTAAAACCTACATGCATCTCGAATGTAACTCAGAAGTAATTAGCTGGATATTTATGAGAGCGAAAATTGTTTAAAACAAAAGTTGAAGAAAAGAACGGAAGTAAGTTTTATAATCACTTTTTTGTAAGTCTTCGGGTTTTTGAAATAGTTAAGCAAAAGGGATTTGTATGCTGCCTCCCCATCGAGAACTCTTGTACTGATCTTGATCACATTTTATGTTGGGTAATTCACAAATTGAAAATATACAGGGAATAACAAAGCGAACGCTCCGGATTTATTGCGCGCTGCATACAGATCTGCATTTGTTTCCGTCTACTGTTGTGTATGAAGTTGAATGCTATCCATTTGCTCTGAGTTAGTTAACTTTTATGTGGATCTCAGCGAAGAAATTCGAGAACTGCCTGCTAGTTTTACATGCATGCTTGTCCTCTAGTAACAGCGCCAGAATCACTAAACAAATTCTGCTCAGTGTTTGGTTTGACAGACCGTTACATTTTATTAAATTGCTTTGACTTCTATTCCTTGTTTTTCATCTTAAGCGATTCTTTACTTACATTGCTAATTGAACGTTTCCGTATAAGACTTTATATCTGCAAATTTTATAAAACATAAACTTCTATTTTATTGTCAGTCTACACACAGTAATAGGAAAATGTAATCTTTATGTTTCATTTGTTTTATGTCGCCGTTTCTCTGTGACATTAAATAAATAACACATGAAGTTATTTGTTTTGTTTTTATTGTGTATAGTCGAAGAATAGTATAGAAGTCTAATTTGATCTGAATTACAGATTATAAAATTTGATGAGCGAGATATTTCTATTAGGCCTATACGAATATTATCATGTTTAAGTTAAATTGGCTACAAATCATCAATGTACTGAAAATCCTAATTAAAACTTAAGGAAGACCTATTAATTTAGAATTTTTGATACATTTTGAAAGAAGAACCGGTCATTCTGAACTCAGATAGAAGAGCTTTGACAGGTTTAATCTTCATCACTTGATGTTACTGACTTAATTTTACCTCTAATATTTTTATTTATTTTACATATCGTGTTGACGTTCGATGTACGGACCTTAAAGTAATGCCATGCAGACGGTGACTTTAATTCTTATTATTACAATGGCAGTAGATAAGTGCATTTGGGTAATGAACACACTTGTCTGCTATTCCTGTTCACACTGTTATTGTAATAGAAACTAAATGGAAACACGTTTCACATGCATAGACGACTAGTTCATTAGTTACTGCTGTAAAATAAAATGTAAATACACGTTTCGCGCTACCCCCATTTGTTTGTTTGATATTATAGAGAAATATGAAGCTAATTAAAGTTTCATAATTTTCGATCTGTGACAACAGTATTTTAATTACTTTAATTTTGTGGCCTCACCTATGAGATTGACATAGCCGCCATGTTGATATTAAAATGAAGGTAAAGAATAAGAAAATGCATAGTCAGAGTGACCTCTATTGACATGATGTATATAACAAATTTAATTAAACGTCCTATATTGGTTCGAGGGTTATTAAGGGAGGACAAACATTCACACGTTGAACGCGATGATGTCATAAACACGTCACTCTTTATAAAGTAAGGAAAGTTCACTGCATAATAACTTAAATCATCCTGTAATACCGCAACCGCGATGGAATTAGTTGGAGGAAACGCAGAAGTAAACTTCTATGTCTAAGGCTCTGTAATATGTCTCCGTGTGGAATTTATATGAACGACACGATAAGATTATGAATTCCAAGCTGAGAGCGAGGCGATGTGCAGCGAATTAGGGAATGTACAGTCACGTCTTGTCTTTTGTTTGCATCGAAACAAAGACTTTACAAATACATTCGTCGGTGCTGAGTTAGTTGCCAACAAACACTGCACTGAGGAGCTATAAAATATCTTAACATGTAATTTATAAAATATAAACCATAACCAAAATTTCTGCAAATAGAAGTTAATGTTAAACTTTGTATCACGATTCGTACATACGAGAAAAGTTATAAAGAGCGATCTGAATTTAATTTAAAGTGGGAATTTTATTGGTCTGATTTATAATAAGTTAAAATTGTGTCCAGATTTTAGTTTAGACCGCTGGTGTATTCTAAAATTTTGTTGTATTCCACTGAGCAGTTTTGCAAATGAAACGTGCGGGACAGACAGACGTGATATCACCATTTTAAATTAATTCATTAATTTTCTACGCATTGTTCAGATGGCGAAAATGAAGAAATGGGAGTTTAAGAACAGTACTCCTGTTTTGCATATGAACTTCGCTCTTCCATGTGCATTTTCTGCGAATTTACACCTCACATAGATCATTATGATTGCTTAACTCACTCAGTGGTACAGACGGAATCCTTGAGAAGGAATTTCTCGATATCTGTGAAGCCCGAAGGTTCATTACCGGGATCTCACGCGCAGGCCACTGGTCGTTGTCCTCAGCCACGCGAATTTAATCCACGTATTCTGCCCTATTTCTGTAGGACATGCTAATATTATACTAAAGCCCACCTTAGATCTTCTAAGTGGTCTCTATCTTTTCCAGCCAAAAAATATTAATGAATTTATCATCTTATGCATGATTATTTATGCATGCATTGGTAATATAGCTAATCAGTGGTAGATGTAGGTATACTATTCTGAGTGGGGTTTATTTGCTGTGAGTGATTGAGTGTAAAATATTTTGAATATAAGGTGGTCGTATTCAATTTTAAGTTATACCGACATTTGCTTGGGAGAAGTGGCGAAACAAACCACAAATATCCTGTCAGCCCTGGTTCTTCCAAATACGAAGTAGTGATCAATACATTGCTAACTTTCAGTTAATAAATTATACAGCGTACGGACCGCTGGTACACGGGGATTGTAGGTTCGAATACCGCTCGAGGCATGGATGTATGTTTGCGAATTTCTGTGTAGTGATGTCATGTGTAATTAACTATTTATTTTTAGCAGTAACAGCAGAAAAAGCGAGTGGACATCAAGGGTCAGACCCATTAAACTGGAGTTCTTTTGCACAGATTTTCACATCAAATACACTCGGAAGGTATTTAGTTAAATATACAACAATAGTGAAAGGTGGAGACATATATAATGTGTATTCGTTTGCACGATGAACCGTTTAAAGGAAAATGAATCAAATCTTGGTTTCTGTGATGAAATATGGTAGAGGATCAGGGACTCCGAGGAAAGATGTTAGCCAAATTTCGGTTGTTAACACTACTTGTGTGCTTGCATCTCACTTTTGGTGATCTTAATTGTGATACCTTTTGTTGTAGCTGGTGCCATGTTGGGACTTGTGATAAAGCATCATCGAAGATGATGTACGACATGCATATACTCAGTTGTCAAAATTTCAATAACTCCTCCCCCTTTCACCCCGCATAGGGATTTGGCTAACACTTGAGAAAAATTCACGCTTCATCGCTGTAGTGGGCAGAGAGAGATTCCTCCCATTATGCGTTGATTAAAAAACTTTTAAAATAGAAGATATATATTATGTGATATTTAACCATTGTTTTCATAATTTGATACAGAATGATTTGAGCCCTATGTAAGATAGGTAAACTTTTGAACTGTTACGTACGAAAATGAAATCTGAGAAGACAAATTTTAGTTTACGTTTTATACCAAATGCAAATGAAATCTGTTGAGCGATTTTAGGTGGAAACATTGCGACTGTTATTAGCATTTGGCTGTCTCATTTTGCGTTCGTTTTATGCACTGCCTTTAGGATGTACTAAATATGATTGCTCGTTGTCAGAAACTGCTGGTGTCAGACTGATTAATGCGTCTATAGTCGACTCAGCTGCAGTAGTTATTTTATGCTGTCTTTATACTAAATAATAGCAATGTGAACATGAAAATTACTTATAGTGCAGTTTAAATATTTTCAGTTATATTTCGCCATGCAATACGTCGTCTAATAATGATCATACTGCCATGATTAGGTGTTTTTGTAATTATTTAGTGGTTTCTCATATGTACAGAACATAATATAAAATGTTAAGTCCACTTTGCTCTAGTCTTGTGTCTTGTGCACTTCCTTCTAGCTGGATGTTGCGATTATTATGGAGATTAATTGAAAACTTCCATAACCGTAATAAGTTGTTTTCTGAAAAAATAGTATCACTTGAAGATTTCTGTCTTCTACACAGCGCAACAACCCAGAAGACAGAAATCTTCATACTCACCGCTGTGAAAACCTCAAATCTTACAGAGTATCGCTTGTTCCCACTACATTACTTCACATTTATCATTAACCTTTTAACTTCTCATGTCCCTTCCATAAACATAACACAAAACGAAATTCTTTTAATATTGTCCGCTGTTTTGTGTGTGTGTATGAAACTTAATTTCTCACACAGAATGAAAGAAGTGATGTTTGATGTTCATACGGTGGTGAGTGTGATAATAATACGTAGCTTTCTGGGATACTGCGCTGTGTACTCTCATAGAAGTTGACCAACGTTTCAGAGGTGCGTAATGCTGCCATCTTCAGGACGATATCCCTGATATAAAACATGAGTTGGCGGTATTTCAGAATAAAATGCTGAGGAAAAAGAACCCGGAGGTGAGAGAAGAGAATAACAGAAGAACTGGGGTAATTTTATAATGAAT